GCCCACACTCCCCCTCCCCTTTTGGGAGGATTTACACTTAGGCACATGACCAGCTAGTCACAAAGTCACCGACTGGCAGGCTCAGGCCCCAGTCCTCACTTTCAGCCCTGGCAGCACTGCTCTTTCCACCCCGGGCAGCTCACTCATTCCCACGGGCCCCGCCCCGGCTCCTCCTCCTCCTCCGGTCTCTCTCTCTCTCTCTCTCTCTCTCGGTGGTCTCCTGTTGCCTCCTCTGAGTCCTTGGGCTCCTCAGCTCCAGGAGTGGCGCCGAGGCTTTCTTTGCTCAGCTCTGCTTCTTCAGCAAAGCCTGTTCCGATGCCCCCTCAAGCCAAAACTCACTGCCATCAAGGCGGACGACTGACTCACAGCGACCCAGCAGGACAGAGTAGAACTGTCCCTGTGGGTTTCCAAGGCTGTCTTTATCTTTAAGGGAACAAAAAGGCTCATCTTTCTCCCGTGGTGTGGCTGGTAGTTTTGAACTACTAACTGTGGTTAGCAGCCCAATGCGTAACCCACTACACCACTCAAGCTCCTTCTGATCCCCTGAAACGAATACACTGTCTGACCCTTCTCCAACAGGGGCCTCAGCGGACATCTACTCTTACTGTCCCTGTTCTGGAGATGAGAAAATGAGGCGCTTTGCCCCAGGTCACAGGAGTAGGGTCGAGGCCCTGCACTGGCTGTGTTGGGACTGAGGCTGCCAGAGTCGGAGTGGGAGCAGCTAGGCACTCGAGAGAGGTCAAGGACGTCTTCTGAGTCCGCTTGGATTTATCGCCTCATGGCTTCTCTGGAGACCAAGGAGACTGCAAACAAGTGTCCCCGGAGGAAGCAGCCGGACGCTCTAAGAGGGTGGGACCGGCCACAGAGACGTAGCACAACCAAGACACCAAGGTGGGAGAGGAACAGACTATGCTAAACGACCGTCAGGAGATGTAATGGGCAGACGTTTGGGGACAACTGCAGGAATTTGAATATGAACTACATATGAGGTTCCATGTAAATATTATTAATTTTCTTGGCAATGGTCACGGCATAGTACTATGAGAGAAACTATTTTTAGGAGACGAATAACGAGGTAGCGCGATGTGAAGTACAATCAGGCTTACAATTTGCTTCGAACGGTTGGGCAACAATCAAACCCCACAAAAAGGGCTAAAGCGCACCAGGCAGCAGGTTCAGTGTGAATCTACATGGTTCACCCGACAGCTCTTTCCGCGTTTCTGCAAAACGTTTATTTCCAAGAACTTTATTACGAGAATCCTCATGAGGAGGAGGTAGGCAGAATGCTCTGGTGTTTTAGCAAGTCAGTCCCTTTGGGAGTAAAGAGCGGGGTGCCCATCAGTTCCAGCAAGTCCCTGCCACAGGCAGGGTGAGGGCCCTGCATTAGAGCTGCAATCTGACCGGGCCTGGCCGGCCTGTGCCCCTTACCGGCATCCCACTCCAGCAGGCTGGGGTCCTCCCAGCTGCTCCCGGCCGCTGTGCGGATGCAGCGCTTCAGCTTCTCTGGCTTCCCTTTCTTCTTGTCCTCACCCAGGGGCTCGGGGACCTATGTGGGGGCGCACAGGGCTGGGGGTTGAAGTCTTTTGGCCCCATCCTCCTCTGTTCGGCCTCTCTCACCCTCCTCTGCACCCGCTCCTCCTGCTTCTGTAGTGTGTGGTTCGAAGTGGAGGTGTCTGCCCTCGTCTGGGTCCCTCCAGCCCCTCAGGCCATTGTTACCTCCATGGGCAGAAGACTACATGTGCTTCTGTGTGGAAACTCCTGGACTCTTGCCCGCCCCCACAATTGCCCCCCCCTCCCCCCCCTCCATCAAGGAACATTCAGCTTACCTCTAGAGCCATGAGGCCAGGGGGCGGTTCAGGGCGAGGGGGCCGGGGCCTTGGACGCAGGGACAGGAGCTCGGGAATTCGTAGGGGGGGCAACAGGCCACGGACTACCTCTAGTGGCAGGGGCAGGGGCTCAGGCTCAGGCAATGGCATGGCCAGGGCCAGTGGCAGGCTGGGTCCAATGACCACAGGGCCAGTTGGGGTGCCTCCTGCTCCCACAGCCACAGCAGCACTGGCCTCCTCCAGCCCGGCCGCTGCAACCACCGCCTCTTCCTTCTCTTTGAGGCCCAGACCCAGGCCCAGGCCCAGCTCTCGGGAGGCTGCTGGCTCTTCCTGTGGACAAACGAGGGCGCAAGAGGGTCAGGTCACAGCGCAGACCTGACTGACTCCTGGCCCAAACAGCAGAGCCAGGACCTGCGGCTGGACGGCAGGAAGTGAGGCCGAGCCACAGAGAGGAGGACAGAGCCTCAGAGACAAAGCCGTCTGTCTGACAAAGACACACACAAGGACAAACAACAATGTCAGTTGAGAGAGAAACCAGGGCACAGAGAAAGACGTCAGAAAAATTTCGCAGCCACAGAGAATCCGGGAAGCATGGAGACATGACAGAGAAACAGAGACTTGAGAACCCGGGGCAGGTGACTTCCACACGGTCCACTGGACCCAGACTCAGTGTCTCCCTGCCTCCCGCAGCTGCCCACACTCACCAGGGGAGGCCTGAGAGCTGCCATGGAGGCCAGGGGCGGCCCTGGGGCCCGAGCCATTGGTGGGAGCATCATGGGTGGCCCAGGGGGCCCGGGCAGAGGGGGGCCCACGAGGGCCTGGTGAGGTGGCCGCAGGGTCATCGGGCGGGGGCCGCCTGCTGCAGAAGAGAGAGCAGAATCTGTCAGGGTGTTAGTAGGTGAGTGGGAAAGTGTGGGGGTGGGGATGTGGCAGGAATGATGGCCATGGCCCCTCACCTGCTCTTTGCAGCACATGGGGGACGAAGGCCGGCCGCAGGATTGGGGCCCTCTGGGGGGCCACGGCTGTGGGAGAGAGAGACCGGGAGGTGTGTCCTGGGGCAGAGTGTGTGGGCCGTGCTTTCAGACCCTGGAGGTCTGGGGACTCTTCCAGACAGCATGAGAAACCTTCCACACGTTCAGTGAGCAGCGCCCCTGTGGCCTTCCCCTGCCTGCAGCCCTGTGTATTTAGTGTGGGGGACATCCCAAGCCACCAGTGGCACTCAGAGGCAACCTCGGGGAGGCCTCTGTCCCAGCCAAGACGGCAAGAGCAGGCTTCCTGGAGGGGAGGACCTCTGAGGAGTGGGCCAGGCGAGGTGGGTGAGCAGTCCCCCACCCCCAGCCTGGTCTTGTTGATGGAGCCATGGGTATCCTGAGGGCCCTGAGGCTCGACAGCAAGGTTGGGAACTAGGCAGGGCAAGTGGCTCTAGGGCAACTGGCTCCAATTCTCATTTGGATCAAGACTAGGGTGCAGAGTGAGAGATGTAAACACCCCCACCCCCCACTCCAAAGTCAGCAGGTTAATAAGACAAAAGTCCACCTGCATGTAGGTACAACAACCAGCAGGCCAGAGATTCAGACCTGACTGGGAACACACCTTCTTTTCATACAGGCAAGCAGGAACACTGAAACGGACTGCAAGTATAAAGGGCACCTAATACCACGGAGTCCTGGTGGGGCTGCTACCCAAAGATCAGCAGTTTGAACTCACTAGCTGCTCCTCCGGAGGAAGATGAGGCTTTCTACTCCTGTAGAGAGTTACAGCCTTGGGAAACAACAAAAGCGGTTCTATCCTGTCCTATAGGGTCGCTATGAGTCAGAACTGACTCGATGGCTGTCGTTCGGTTGGGTAACAAGAGGGAGGGAAGAATAGCATGGGCCAAGGACAGGTCAGGAGACTATAACTGGGTGACAGCAAGGAGGGAGCGAAGGCATATGCCAGCAGTGTTTCCAGCTCCTAAAGAGGATGTAGGCGGTCTCTCTCTGTGTAAGGCCTGTGCGGTGGAAACCCAAACCACTCACTGCCACTGAGTCGATTCTGACTCAGAGTCACGGCGACCCCAGAGAACTCAGGAGAACTGCTCCTGTGGGTTTCTGAAGCTCTAATCAGAGGTCCTCAAACTTTTTAAACAGGGGGACAGTTCACTGTCCCTCAGACCTGTTGGAGGGCCAGACTATAGTTTAAAAAATAAAAACTATGAACAAATTCCTATGCACATTGCACATATCTTATTTTGAGTTAAAAAACAAAAGGGGGAAAAACACCCGGCGGGCCGGAAAATGTCCTCAGCGGGCCGCATGTGGCCCGTGGGCCATAGTTTGAGGACCCCTGCTCTAAATCTTTCCAGGAGTAGAATGCCTTACCTTTCTCCCTTGGAGCAGCTGGTGGGTTTGAACTGCTGACCTTGAGGTTTTAGCAGCCCAATGCATAACCCAGCCAGCCGCCAGGGCTCCTATTGCCAGGTGAGGAACTTGATGAACTGTATACAAAACTATGGGATAGGGACCAAGCTCCCTACCCTTTCTAGAGCTTTTATTTATTTATTTTTCTAGAGCTTTTATTTTAAAGGAGGACTAAGACGAGCAAGAACAATTAAGAATTATAGTGCCTGTTAGATTGTGCTTAAGTCCTGAGGAGAAGACAGGGACGGAATTAAGAAAGAAAGTGAGGAAGTGGGCCATTGGTCATGACCAGGTTAAGTCTCATAAAAGCCAAACACATCTGAAATAATCATGAAATGATGGATCAGGATTGTCTTGGGAAGGTGACAACAGCAGGGTGGGAATGAAGTAGAGGGAGAAGCGGGAATTTTAGAGTAGGGAGACCAAGGGTGTAGACAAGAGGCCAAGGAGTCTAAACAAGAATACCCGGAAAACAAGACGCTGTGGTGATTTCTAGGGACATGTGGGGTCCCTGGCTGCTCACCCACCTGCTCGCCGCAGGAACATGGCTTCACGAGCCTCTGGACTGTCCAGGTGACTCCGATCACCAGGGCCGAAGCCAACTGTTGAGAGGGGAGAGACAAGAAAGGTGGGAAGCAACCCCCTCTACCATCAGCGTCAAATTCACTCCCACCCCACCCTCCTTACTCACCTGGGCCCACAAAAGGGGGGCCCACCATGGGAGGAACCACTGTGGCCGCAGCGGCTGCCCGAGCCTCCAGAGTCTGCTGGACCTGTTGGGGAGGACAACAGAGACTCAGACCCAGGACCCCCAATCTGCCTTGACTGGCTTGTCTGGGAAGGCCCAGGCCCTTATTCTCTGTTTCCTGTAGGGCTGGTTATATGTCAACCTTTGGCTCTCGGTGCAAACGCTACTTCTCAGGAGCCCTTCAGATCACAGCAGCCAAGGTGTGATTACAGTCCTCATGCCTGTCTGTAGCAACTTCTCTCGTCACCTTCTCTCATCTTAACTCACCACCATTGAGTTGAGGGTCATTGAGTCGAGTCACAACTCACAGTAACCCTAAAGGACAGGGCTGAACTGCCCTGGTCAGTTTCTGAGATGAATTCTTTACAGGGGTAGAAAGTTCTATCTTTCTCCTGTGAAGTGGCTGGTGGTTTCAAACTGCTGACTTGCAGTTAGCAGCCCAGTGGGTAGCCACTAAGCCACCAGGGCTAAGATTATGTCCACCTTGTCCTCTCCATCTCTCATGCCACCTCTCTGGTCCAAGCCACCATTACCTCTTGCCCTTGGCTCCTACAATCTATTTCCCAAACAGCTGGGTCAGGCACACCTTAGTCATCAAAGTGACATACTTGCTCTTCATCATTTTAAGAGAGGTCTTTTGCAAATTTGCTCAATACCATGTTATTTGATTTCTTGAGTTCACGAACATTGTGGATCCAAGTAAAATGTAGTCCTTGATGATAAACCAATCTCTTCTGTTTACTACATTGTTTACTGGTCCAGTTGTGAGGATTTGGGGCCTCTTTACATTGAGTTATAATCCACACTGACGGCTACAGTCCTTGATCAGATCATCAGCAAGTGCTCCAAGCCCTCTCACTTTCAGGGAGCAAGGCTGTGTCATCTGCCTATCCATCTATATGCCTACTGCAGGTTGTTGCAGCCCTTTTCCAATCCTGTGCTGTGCTCTCCTTCACCTAGTCCAATGGATCTTGGGGTTATGTGCTCAGCATACAGACTAAATGGTGAAAGGACACAATGCTGATACACACCTTTCCTGATTTTAAAGCACACAGCACTCCTAGCTCCCTGCCTCACTCCATGTGAGCACAATAAAGGGTCTGGAATTCTCATTCTTCTCAGTGTTATCTGTAGCTTGTGATGATCCACAGTCAAACACTATAGTACAATCAATGAAAACACAAACATCTTCCTCATATTTTCTGCTTTCAACCAAGGCCCATCTGACATCAGTAATGATCATCCTCAGGTGACACCCACTTCTGAATCTGGCTTGAATTCTGGGAGCTCCCTGTTATGTATTGCTGGAACTGATTTTGAATTATCTTCAGCAAAATTTCACTCGCATATGATATTAGTCCCATTGTTCAATGCCCAGTGTCGGGTCCTCTTTCTTTGGAACGGGGATACATATAGATCTCTTCCAGTGGGTTGGCCAGGTAGTTGTCCTTCCAATTTCTTGGCATAGATTGAGTGTCTCTCCTTGGTCCTTAGCCCTTACTGCCAGCCAGTTGATTCTGACTCATTGTGACCCTGTAGGACAGGTAGAACCGCCCCTGTAGATTTCTGAAATTGTAACTCTCTAAGGAAGTAGAAAGTCTTAACCTTCTACAGAGCAGCTGGAGGCTTCGAACTGCTGACCCTGCAGTTAGCAGTCCAGCATGTAGCCACTATGCCACCAGGGGGGTTCCTCCTTTCTCCCCCTCGTAAAATGTTAACTCCAAACAGGTGTTGTTCTTCCTTCTGTTTGGTTCTTGCCTATCTACTCCCTTAAAGAGTTAGTTTTGGAAACCCACAGGGAGGTCTACCCTGTCCTATTGGGTTGTTATGAGTCAGAATCAACTCAATGGCAGTAGAGGTTTTTTCTTTATATACATGCTTGATACCTAGAATAGTGCCTGGTACATAGAGAACCCATTGTGTGGAGTCTATTTTGACCTAACTTGACCCAAGGTTTCTGAAACTGTAAATCTTTAGAGGACATAACACCTCATCTTTTTCCCTTGGAGCAGCTGGTGGTTTTGAACTGCTGACCTTGAGGTTAGCAGCCCAACACCTATCCCTCGGTGCCAGGGTTCCTTTGGTGCATAGGAGGTACCCAATAATTGTTTGTGAACTGAATGAGTTTCACTTACCAAAAAAATTTAAAAATTCCCTGTCCTGTGGTCACACATAGTTGGCCACTAAGCATTCAAAATGACTAATGCAATTGACCTACTTAACTCAAATATACATTTTAAATCAATCAGGACATTTTTATTCTTGCTGAAAGTTTTGGTGGGTACATTATGCTGCCAGGGGCAGAAATACCGTCTGACTCATTATTGAATCCTCAGCACTTAGCACAGGGTATGGGCCATACAGTGTGCCAGGCTAATTAATCAACGTGGCAGCGTGTCGACTTGCGGTCGCCTGTGTTGGATTCGTACCCCAAGCTCTACTGTACCTGCTGGTATGTGTTGGTCGCGATAATGGGGCGGATCACTGGCGCTGTCGGGACCTGCATCGCTTCGACCGTGGGGACAGTAGGCACGGCGGGCACAGCCGTCGGGATTCCGGTGATCGGAGCTCCTAGAACCTCCTGCTCAAACCTGCGGGCGCAGGGCAGGTACCAGGGATCAGAGCCTCGCACTCACTCAGGAACGCTCGGGCTATCTGGACACCGGCTTCACCCTGCCCAGCCTCTTCCCATCCCCGCCTCCCACTTCCCCACTTCCGAGCCATAGTGGCCGGGAGCCTCGAGGAGTTGGGGGCTCTGACTAAAGGGAGGCTTTTATCGCGCGGTGTCGCCGGCCTTACAGAGCCATCTCGGCTTCCATTTCCTTCAAGCGTTCCTCGCCGCTCTTTCCCGGGATCCCAGCGCCAGGGCTCGGGACCACGGGTCCTCCTGCCCCCGGGAGCCCCGGGGCGGGCCCTGCCCCAGCCATTGCTGCTGCCGTCGCTATCCCTGCCACTACAGCCTCAGCTCAGCCTTCGCGTCGCCGCCGCCGCCACAGCCGCCGGTTTAGGCAGTCGATCTCTGGACGTCACGACTGGCGCCCGTGGGTGACGTCAGAGCCAAAGCGACGAGCGCTGGTAAACTACCAATGGGCCAACAGGGGCCCGCCTTGCCAACTGGGAGCGACGACCAATGAGAATACGAACGTACCCTCAAGGCCCGCCTCCAGAGAGAATTTGGACCAATGGAAGTGGCGTAACGGAAGAACCTGGGCCTATGAAATCGGAGCCGTTCCGTTGGCCCCACCCATGATACGAAATCCGACTCTCCGTTCAGGAAAGCTTGGAGGCCCCGCCCAAAGGGAAGTTTCAAACCCCAGGCTGCAGTCGCTGCCTGCTCCAGGGTGGGGGCGGACCTGTGCGCCCACTCTAGGGTCAGGGACTGACTGGAACCACATAGCGACTCCCAGAACGCGGCGCGTTGGTCTGGAGGAAACCCCCAAGAAGCGCCCGTTCCGGCTTCCTGGAGGCGGTAGCAATTGAAGTATCAGAAGCCACTTGCTGGACGGAAGTGCTTCAAATGTGGATCGCGGATCGCGGGGACAGTCCAGAATCATTATGTGGCAAAGGTGACCCCTCAAAAGGACGCGGTGTGGGGTTGGTCTTTGTGTCCTTTCTTGGGATACAGTTGACCTTGTTTACAAAACAATTTGTATGAATATTTTCAGCCACACACGAGTGGACAGAACAATAAAACATGAACTCTCAAAGTTCAACTCAACAATGATCAATATTCTACCTTTGTTTTATCTATACTAACAAAACTCCAAACTCGCTGCCATCGATTCCATCTGGACACCTAGCTACCCGATCAACAGGGTAGAACTTGGGGTTTCCAGAGTTTAAATCTTTATGTGAGTGGACGACCTTGTCTTTCTCCTTTAGTGGCTGATGGGTTTGAACCAGTGGCCTTGTGCTTAGCAGTTCCATGTGCACTCCACTATGCCACCAGGGCTCCACTGTTTTATTTGGACTTCCCATCATTATTTAACAGCAAAGTTGGAAAAAATAGATCAATAGACATGCATAAATTATCAGAAATGTCTAGTTGTTTAATATTAGAAAAGCATTGGACGGCTAACCACAAGGTTCTGAGTTCAAAACCACTAGCTACTCTCTGGAAGAAAGATGAGTGTCTGTTGCCATAAAGATGGACAGAAGCCCTATGTAGGATGCCTGTAAATCAAAATGGACTCTGTGAGAAGCTCTTTTTGAGTGTTTCTGAAAATAAATTGCTGGTATCACCCCTAATATTTTAAGACTTCCTCTAACAGCATTCTTCTACCTATCACAGTACAATTATTCCACCAGACATTTAGCAGATTCGATATATTCATCTACACTTTTTCTAATTATCCCCCAAAGTATACTTTTAAACTTTTTTTTGGTGGGGGCCATCTAAAGCCTGGATTCAGTGCTGCATTGGATCTCATTGTTCGTTAGCCCTTTTTACTCTCAACAATATGATCCAGGTGTTTTGTACAAAACCCTACGGCCTGCAATAGAAGGGAAGCCAAATACTGTGTTATTTTGCCTTTCACTGTTTGACCCTTGGGGAGACAGTTCTAAAAATATGATTGTTTGGGCCAAGGAAATTCATAGGTAGTTTTGCTGTTTACCCTGCAGGGCGACCAGAAGGCCTGTTTCCAATAACCTTGCCAAGAGAGGGAGTGTCAAGCTCGTGTTTCCCTTTTGCCAGGCTGAGGTTTCAAGGCTACCAAGGGTTTGTTGGTTTTTATTCTGGTTTTGAGCATACCTTCTGAGAATGGCTGTTATTTTCCTGTGGAATTGTTGGTAAGTTTCTTTTGTACACTGATACAATCTGCACGTGAAAGTGGGGTACATGCAATAGCCTGAACTGGCTCCAGGGGAAAATTGCTGATGGCTCTGAGATTTTAGTGTCAAAGAGGAAGGGGGGGAGAGTGTCTCAGGACAGTAATCTCGGGTCTCGACCAGTCCAGCAGGCCTGTTGGTTTGAAGGCACTTGGGGTCCCATTCTCCACTGTCCTCCCACCCTATCAGGTCCATCCACTGGCCCTGAGTAGTTTGCTTGGCAGTGGTAGGCGAACCTCAGAGACGAGGCCATGGTTTAGATTTGCACCTTTGACACCCCCCCTGCTTTAGCTTCTACAGAGCAGTTCTTACTATGTAGCATACTGTGTATTTTGCACATTAATCTTGTCAATTGGCTCTCTGAGCTTGAAGGCACAGGGGCTTTATTTAGTCAGTTTCCTTCAGTATCGCAGCCTCGTTCTTAGAAGAGACACTCCATTGTTTTGCTGATGAAAAGTGATGGCATTTCAGGGGCAGGGGCATCCAGCTTTTGCCGGATGAAAGGATCACAGGAAAGCACAGCAGACAATCATGTAGGGAGGGCTGTGGCTGTCAGAGGACAATGGGCTGACAAATCCAAACAGTGCCTTCTTCCACACGTTTTATTGGGGGAGGTGGGTGTTCAGGTGAATGAACGTGATGCTCTTGGCGCCTGAGACTCCTCTTCACCTGCCCAGCCGATGCAAGGCCTCCTGAGCTTGGACCCAGCGCAGCCGCCACTGGGACAAGGTCAGACCTTGGCAGTGCTCCCCAGAGAGGGCATCCTGGCCTGGCTGCTCCCACCTGGGGAAAGGAGGTGGTGTCAAAGAAAAGACCTGGTCCTCCAGATCCTTACTGCTGCTATTCATTGCCCGCCCCCGCCCCGACTGCTTCTCACCCCCTGCCTGACTCCTGACTCTTCCACTCAGCTCAGCCCTGGCCTGCGGGCTGCCCCCTCTCACCAGTCTCTCACAGCTCCCTGAAGCTCAGGGATCCGCTCCAACGCCTGTTTCAGCAGGTTCTCCAACAGCCACAGCGCCTGGTCCACGCCGTCCTGCTCCTTCTCCTGTGACGCCTGCATCTGCAGCAGCTCTGGAGGTTAGAGACCCAGCAGCAAGCTTGAGTCCTCGGGGACTTCAGGCCTCACAGCCGGAGGCCACCAGGTCTCCCATCACCCAGGCTGGGCCCCAGCAGTCTCCTACCCCATCACTCTGCTGCCCTCCACCCTCTGCTTCCTCTCAGTCTCCTTCCAGAGCTTCCAGCCCGCCTCCCACATGGCACCCAGAGTAATCTTCCTAAAGCTTAAACCCGCTTTCTCCTATGTAGAACCTTCTCTGGCTCAGAACCCAAGTTTTTGCCCTGGTATTTGAGGGCTTGTATTGCCTCTGCTTAACCACTCCTGGGAAAAGCTTACTCCTGCACGCCAGGGCCCATTTTCCCTCCTTCTCCGCATCTCCCTTGGATAGCTCCAGCCCTTTCCAGGAGGCGGCAACCCAGCTCAGTCCCTCTCTAGCTTCACAGCCATGCAGAGAGATGCAGCCTGGTCAGAGTTCTTGGGCCTGACTCCTTCCTCCCCCTCCCCCTTGCCCTGTGACCTGGGTCAGAGACCTGACCTTTCTGCACCTCGGCTATGTCGGCAGTCAGGGGGATGATCTGGGTCTTAGGCCAGCAGGTGACTGGGGAAGCTGACACCAACCATCTGCTTCGAGGTGCAGGCATGGGAGGGACCAAGGGTGACTACTGGGTGCAGACTTGGGCGTGGAGGTGAAGGGGCGCTTTCTACTCCCGTAAACAGTCTTGGAAGCCCACAGGGGCAGTCCTACCCTGTCTAATAGGGTCACTGTGAGTCAGAATTAACTCAATGACAGTGAGGTTTGTTTTGGTTTTTCTTTGTTAACTGTTTGATGACACTGGATGGGTAGGTACTTGGCAAGTTGACAGGAGTGTGGCATAGAAATTAAGAGCTCAGCCCCATGTCAGACTGCCTGGGTTGTTCCTGGCTCTGGTATTTGGGTCTGCAAGGTGAGACTCCCAGCCCTCAGGAATCCAGTAAGACGGGAGCCCAGGAACCCTACTTCATGGCCTGGCTGTTCAAGCGTTGGCCCAGGATAAGCTAAGAGCCAGTTCGGGATGTCATTACTTTCGAAGGTTACTACTTGGGAAGCCGAGGAATCCTGACAGCTGGGCGGGCCTACCAGGGGCAGAGGAGCCGGGGGGCAGGCCCGTCTTCAGGTGTAGCAGATCCCTGTGCAGCAAGTTCCGCTGCCCTTGGAGGAACACGAGGTCTTGGTGCAGAGAGGCCACCTTTGGGAGGAGCAGCTCTGGGGCCTAGTGGAAGGAGGAGGGACAGCCACCTTGGGCACGGTTGGGCAGGGGGGAGCGGGGGAAGGGCAAGCCACGGGACAGGCACTCACCTTGCCTGCTGGCAGCCCGAGTATGTGGCTTAGTGCCACATACTTAGAGCCCCTTGGGGATGCGGGGTGCAGCTGGTGGATGGACGGCAGCACCGTGGGCAGGGGCGCTGACCTGCAGGGAAACTGGAGGTTGGGTGGGAACTGGGAGCTGAGAGTGAGGGTCTAGAAGCCCGGGAAGTTGGAGGTGAGGTAGGGGCTCGGGTGCTAGAGCATCTGACCAATGGCTACAGGCGAGCTCTGGGGACACCAGGGGACCCAGGGCGGCCGCTCACCCTCCAGGGGCGTGCCGGAGCAGGGTGCCCAGCACAAGGCCGGGCAGATGCTGGGCCTCCTCCTCCAGACAGCGCAGCAGCTCCTGGCTCTGGGGCGCCACCAGCTCCGAGGTGGGGGCCACCTTTCGCTGAACGAGTGCCAGCACCTGAGCGGTGAGAACAAGGGAAGCTGAGCCCACCCAGCCCACGCTCCGCCCTCCACCCTCTGCCCAGAGAAGCCATTCCTGGAGCCCTGCCCAGTCCGAGCCCCAGCGCACCTCTCCAGGGCTCCGGCGGAGGCGGGTCTTGCTGGCTGAGTTTCCCTTGATAAGGAGGCGGACCTGCTCCTGTGTCTCCTCCTGGAGAAGCAGGTGGCCTTGGAGACTGGCTTTTCCTTCCCACCTCTCAGCTGTCGGCTCTGGCCCTCCTCTACCATAACCCTGCCCGACTACACCCCAAACCAAACTAAACTCCCTGCCATTGAGTGGAAGCTGCCTCACGGGGACCCGAAAGGGCAGCGTGGAACTGCCCCTGTGGGTTTCTTTATGGGAGTAGAAAGCTTCCTCTGTCTCCCTTGGAGCGGCTGGTGGTTTTGAACTGGTGCCCTTGTGGCTAGCGGCCCAACATGGTTTGGGGGGAAAGTTTAATTGTGGGTTGGGTGGCGGGTCCCCGAGCAGGTTTGGTTTGACAGTCGACAATGCAGAAGCGTTTGTTTCTGCTCTTCCATGGCCTTCCCCGCCCTGTGCCACCCCTACCCCACTTCTGCCCCTGCTGAAACCTGCCCTGCGTTCCTGGTTCCTGGCCTCCTCCTTTGTAAACCCTTGGACTGTCCTTGGGTCCATGCCCAGGAGGCTCCCAGCCTCCTTCTGGCCCTCACCATGAGCTGGCGCCAGTGCAGGATCCGCTGCTGCTTGGCCTGGAGCTCCCTTAGCAGAAGCTGCCGCTGCCCGGCAGCCGCCTCCAGCTCCTGGCTCTGGGCGCGAAGGGCCTTGAGCTCCGCCCACAGCCCACAGCCGCGGAGTCCCAGCACCAGGGCCTGCCTGGGCGACAAGCCCAGAGTGGGTGGAAGGTCTCTGCTAACAACCCTCAAGGGCAGGGGGCTGAGATTGGAGGATGACCCACCCCAGAGAGCCGGGAAGCAGGGAAGGAGCAACAGGAAGCCATCTCCCCAAGACAGTTGGGGAGAGGAGGCCCTGAGCAGAGACCCCTCACCTCTCCCTGTCTCCGAGGGCGCTTCTCTCGGTCTCCACCAGCAGGCTCTGGAGACGCTGGCTCAGGACCTGCTGCTCCTTCAGCAGAGGGCCCCTCTGGGTGATCAGCACGCTCACAGCCCGCCAGCCCTCCTGGGGAGGCAGGCTAAGTGTCAGCATGGGCACGGTCCGGGGCCGGTGTTGGGAGTCGGGGAAGGGGATTGTTGGGTCACCTGGATGAGGTGGACGGTGGACGGCAGGGCCTGGCTGGAGTCCGGGGGCTGGGGCCTGGGGAGGGGGCGTGCAGAGTGGCTAAGGAAGGGTCTTCCCCTCTTGCCTCAACACGCAGTTTCAGCTCCACTTCTGCCAGTGGGTCACCATGCCCGCCCCTCCCTCTTCCCAGCTCAGCCACAAAGCTGCCCTGCTCTAACTGGCAGAGCCCTCCACTGCCTACCTGGATGTCTCTGCAGCTGGGAGTTGGTCCTCACCGCCCAGGGTTCGGATGGCTGCCTCCCGCTCGGCAGCCAGGTGCTGCAGAGCAGCCAGGACGTGGCCCGGGGGGTGCTCTGTCAGCAGGGCCTGGGGGGTAACGTGAGGGCCATGTCAGACACAGGAGGGGGGCCCTTGGGGAGAGGGCAAACTCAGGGTTGCTCATGGGGCTGGGGGTGTGGTCTCTTCTTTCCCGAGACGCCCCCAGCCCTCCCTCACCTCCACTGAGCTCAGCCACTGATGGTAGGATGTTCCAAACTGGTCCTCCCGAGGGGTCCTGTGGGAGGCCAAGAGCAACTCTGCAGAGTGGCATTTTGATTGCCCCTGGAGGATCACCTATGGGGCAGGGGCCACCGCTGTCCCCATCTTACAGATGAAGAAAGAGTCCACCTTCACTGGTTGAACTTGAGCTGCCCGAGGACAACTGCCCAGTGATACCCTGCCTGCCTGGGGCCGGGACCTGGGTGGCCTCCCAGGGACACCCCACTGAACTTGGGGCCCAGGTAAGCTTCTCCCCTCAGAGAATCCCCCTCTCTGCCTCACTAGGCTAGGCCGGTGTCCAGAGCACCCAGGTCCTGTCCTGCGCCAACCCTTGTGACCTGGGTTGTCATTGTCTGGGGTAGGTTTCCTTATGCCCATAGCCAACATGGGACCTCCACGGTCCAGGCTCTCAGGGCCCCAGGGGTACTCACACGGTGCTGCCTCCCTTGGCCTGGGGACGCAGGAGATTCTGTAAGAACTGGGTCCGGAGGGTGCAGGCCGCTCGGACATCATGCTAGGGAGCAGATGACAGGGTGTAAGGGGGGTCCAGACTCCCCACCCCTTCTCCCCGCTGGCCCAGGACCCTTACCAGGACTGCAGGCTCCAGGCCCAGGGTCGTTGGTGTCAGGGGTCCAAAGGTCACGTCTACTTTGGCCTTCCTGGAGAGCGGCGTGGTGGTGAGGTCGGAGACCCTGGTGTTGGGAGCTGGGCCAACACATGCCTGTGTCCCACTGCCTCTCCTCCCACATGCCAGCAAGGCTGTTGACTGCCCACCAAGCCTGAATCCCAGGGGCCACCATCCCTTCACAAGAGGGGTAGCCCCAATGGCTATAACCCAAGGATCCTATTACAATCTAAGGCCAGTCAACATCATTTGTGCCCTGCTTTACCCCCATCCCATCACACTGTGAGCTCCGCGATGCCTTATTGCGATCCCCCGCCCCCCCACCACACTGGTATGTGCAACGTATCATCAGTGCCCTTCTAGGCCCTGGGGCTCTAGCAGTGACCTGCGATTCCCGGCTTCACGAAGCGTAAACCCAAAGGGATGGATGGGCAGGTGGGGGAGAAGAACCAGGAGGCAGTCCTCCTGCTCCTGCTCCCGAGGAGAGGGAGAGGGGAAGGGGAGAGGAGAGGGGAGAGAAGAGAGTATGGACGGAGGCTGGAGAGGTGGGAGAGTGCTGAGAGGAGACCTTGGATGCTACTCTAAGGCCCTGGGTTCCCGCCCGAGCTGGGGCAAGGCATTGCGTGTCTCCTCACCTTTGCTTCTGAGAGCGATGGCTCAGGGCTTGGGGATGGGCACGCGTACCGAAGGCGAAGGCGTGGCAGCCCAGCCTGGTCAGGGCTGCCCTTGGACACCCAAGGCTCACCTCTGGAGGTCCTGCAGGCGCCGGAGCTGATTCTGCAGCCGCTGCCCGGACCCCTGGAGCCGGCGCTGCTGTCTCTGTAGGGCCGCCGCGTGGGCCCGCAGGAGGAGGGCTCGCCGCTGGGCGGTGCGCATGCTCTGCAGTGCCTGCTCCACTGCTCTGTCTGTGGGAGGAGCGCAGAGGCACCTTCAGAGCCAAGGCTGCCGAGTGGACGGACTGCCCCACGGGTGTCTGAGCCTGTGGCCTTCTCAGAGCAGACTGCCACAGCTTTCCTTCATGGAGCGGCTGGTGGCTGTGGATCACTGGCCTTGGGGTTCACAGCTGAGGGCTTAACCACTGCGCCATCACGGCTCGGTGGGAGGCACGGGTGGCCATAAACACCTCCCCCTAGGTCCAGCCCCATTGCTCACCCTGAGCCTCAGTGTCCTGCTCCATCCGCTCCAAGCTCTGGTCTAACTCCTGGATCTCTGCCCGGAGGCGGGCCACGGTGGCTTCCAGCTCCGACTTCCGATGAGCCTGGTGGGGTCAGGTACAATGTGGGGTGCAGTCTGGTCTGGGTTCAATCGAGTCTGACTGGGCAGGGGCGGAGGGTCTCTTAAGGCAGCATGTAGCTGAGAAGAGCACTTGGGTGCTGTCCCAGGACTCCCTGCCTCCTGAGCCTGTCTCCTGGCTTTGCACTGATGACCCTCACATCTGACCTGGCCCTTATCTCTCCCCTGAGCCTCCTCGAGCTTCCCATAGATGCTGCCAGGGCCCTCACGCAGTGAGTCCCCTGCTGGCCTCAGTACCTCCCTTACACCTGCCCCTCTTTCTGTCGTCTGTCTTCGGCCTGGTTTCCCCGTTTACCTAGGCCCCACATCTCAGGACCCCGCCCACCTTGCCTCCACCCCCTGCCCCCAGCTCATATGTGTCTCTCCCTGAACTGTGTCGGGGTATGTTGAGACGCAGTGTCGCCAGCAAAACCCAGCACAGGGCGAGCTCACGGCAGACGACCCACAATTCCTATTGAGATGAAGGAGACTCTCGTAACGTGTGAGGCTTACCTCTGCACTGTCCTGGTGGCCATACCTGCGAAAACGAGGCCAGAGTCAGGGGATGACAGGAGCTTCCAGCATGGAGGGTGGGGGTCGGGATGAGCTTGAAGGGACGGGTGGGAGTGGGGAGGGTGAAAATGGAGGGCTAGTTACCAGAGCAGGTTCCCTCGGACCTTCTTGACACTCCTGCAGGGAAAGAATATGAGGAAGAGGTGTTGCTACAGCACTCACTTAGCCCCCCTGCCCACTCCGCCCCACCCAGCTAGGCTCACCTCTGACTGTGCACATGCCGAAAGATGTAGGCCCAGATGTCGGCTCCCTGGCCCAGACACAACCTGCAGGGACAGTGTGTAACGGATACCAGTGGGGTCACGCGGGGAGGCCGTTGGTAGAAGGCCTTTAAGGGAAGGTCTCCCTCCTAGGCTGGGTGAGGGGCGTGCCTGTACCATTGGAGGCCAAATCCTTCTCAAGAGATTTTGGTCACTGAGAGGGTGGGCTTCTTATTGGGCATTTCCATTCTCTGGTGGGAGATGGCTATCTCCAGTTACTCCCAGAGTTGGGGGGGGTGGGGGGTGGGGATGAGTGACGTATTGCTCAGACGCCCCCTCTCAAGCCCCAGGCGCGTGTGGGCGTTGCTAAGTCCCACTTGTCCGCAGGGGCCCGAGCGTGGGGAAATGCACGGTTGCAAGGGCGTCCTTAGATCCTCTTTCCACACGGGGGTGGGGTGGTGGTGGTGCTGGGGCTCTTCAACAACTGACAGACGGTCTGCCCTGGGGCCAGTGATCTCACGACTACGACGGGCGGGTCTCCCAGGAGTATCTGCTCCCCGGATGTCCTGCTCCCAGGGTGGGGCGCCCTCAATAACCCAGGGGCACTCTCCCTCGGGGGGTGGGGCGGCGTGGGGGCTTCACTCGCGGCGTCCCGATCCCCAGTGGAGGGGGCATCCCCTCTTTCCCGGGCCGGACCTAACCTGCGC